TATGCAGTAACTAAAAATAATGCTGTTAACATGGATTTATTGGCATGGAAAGATATGTTAAATAGAAAATTCTGGCTGTAAAACAACACCCAAATAAATACAACCTAATTTTATTTTACAACATGTCTGTCTCCCTCCATATTCCCCATTGTACTCACCCAACATTTTCAATATAAAAGTATCTGGAAAGATAGACAATAGGAAAGATTCTGGTAGTTACATGTACGGAGTCATCTTCATAGGAGGACTTTTGGATATTTTAAAATTAGTTTCTTTTTTTTTTGTGTGGTATGTGCCCCTAGAGGGAACTGAACCCAGGACTCTCTGGTCCGCAGGCCGATGCTCAACCGCTGAGCCAAACTGGCCAGGGCTAAAATTGGTTTCTTTTAGCTTATTGTATTTCCTGATTTTCCTATGATGAACATGAATACTCAACAATTTAAAACATAATATAGAAAAAGAGAGATCAATTTAGAAGAGATAGAGTCAAGGATACCTGGAATACATCTCTGAGGTTAACATCATGCTGGACTGTTAGCATTTTTCCACAAAATATACTTCAGAATTTGGAGCTAGCTAGACTGCATATTAGCCTGACTCAGCATGGCATTTCTTTTTGCTCTTATGCTAATGCTTAAAAGCTTGAAACCCTGCACTCTATTCAATCCATTTCATCAAATATTTATTAAGCACCTACTACGTGCCAAGCATTTAGGATACAAGATTAACAAGACATAGTTCTACTGCAATTTAAGTCAATAAGTGCCCTCACAGAAATCTGTACTTCTTTGAAAGTTACAGATGGTTGTTCTGATATTTTTTTTAGAGAGGAAGAGAGAAATCAATAACTAAAGCAGTCCTCATATAAAACAGTGGCCAAGGCAGTTCATACTAAAAATAATCTATTCATGTTTTCGCTGTTTTAACTTCTGTAATATTTTAAACTAAATGTACAACTATGCTGAATCGTAATAAAAAAATACCCACATATTTGTGGCTCTTCACTATGATACCAGTACTATTCCCCTTTTGAATCAATAGCCATTCGACTCTTTTAGTAGAAATTATTTCAGTCTGTTTAGTCTTAGAGCCAAATTTCTCAATTTGACTTTGAGATCCTGACTGGAGACTCCAGTTCCCACATGAGGTAAAATTATTTTTAAAGGTTAAATAAGGCAAGCACTGGCCAGCTTTGCTCAGTGGTTAGAGCATCGGCCCGTGGTCCAGAGTGACTCGGGTTCAGTTCCTGCTAAGGGCATGTACCTTGGTTGCAGTTTGTCCCTGGCTCCAGTTGGGGTTGTGCAGGAGGCAGCCACTCCATGTGTCTCTTTCACGTTGATGTTTCTCTCTCTCTCTCTCTCTCTGTTCCTCTTTCTCCCTCTCACTCTATCTGAACAAAAATGAAAAATGTCCTCGGGTGAGGATAAAAAAAAAAAAAAAGGTTAACTAAGGCAATATGTTTCTTTCTTTTTTTTTTTTATCCTCACCCGAGGACATTTTTCCACCTTTTTGTTCAGGTAGAGTGGGAGGGAGAGAGAGGAACAGAGAGTGAGAGAGAAACATCGATTCGAAAGGAACACATCGAGTGGCTGCCACCTGCACAACCGACCAGGGGACAAACTGCAACCGAGGTACGCGCCCTTAGCGGGAACCGAACCCGGGTCTCTCAGGACCGCAGGCCGACGCTCTAACCGCTGAGCCAAACCGGCCAGGGCAAGGCAATATGTTTCAAATGAACGTTGGTAGGCCCTGGGTAACCAACAATTAGGTGATTAACATGCTAAAAATGTTTAAAGTTGGACTTAGTGAATCTGAACAATTTATACTACTGTTTTGTTTTGTGGAAGAGAAAATTTAAGCCCAGAAGTGAAGTAATTCGTAGGAGTATACATTTCTTTGCACCAAGCCTTATGAAACACATAAGTGGTAACTATTGTCATGAAAAGTTTATCCCTTAGATTCCTAGTTCATTTATCCTTACTTGCCCCAGATTATTTTTCCATAAAGTTTGGTTAAACCATTCTTTGGACTTGTACTCTGCTCAAGATATTATGCATGTTAACCTTTTCATGAAGTTTAATGGATCAATTTATTCAGTTAACAAATACTTATTAAGCACCTACTAAGTGCCAGATAATGGTATTGGCATTTGTTTAAATGTTAACACAAATTATTAAACAAAGAGTATTTAAAGATATTATTTCAAATCCAATAAGTGAGCATTTTGGCTAGTCATGTGTTTGTGAGTGTGTGTGTTTATGGGGGGGGGGGGATTTGTCTCTTTTCTTTCCTTTGTAAAATCTGCTCAATTTTCTATTTTAACTGCCATAATATGCCAAACATGTACTAATAAAATTAGCTTGTTTCTGAGAAGCATGTCTACACTAAGGCTCCTGGGTTTCATTTTATGATAAAATGCTAATTTTCCCTTTATAAAACAAGTTCTTTATTTCATAATTTTGAATGGTATGATACTTTAAAAAATCCACCCTTTGATTAGATTTAGGGCAAGAAAGTATTATGCTAAAATTAAACATTTCAGCATAATAATATTTTTTCCCGTGGGCCTGTAACATTTCCATTTTATTGTTAAGTAAACAACTTCCATTAATTTTAAGACTGCTTTCAGAATGAAATGAAGTAGTATGTGTAATGCTCGTAGGTATGCCAGATCCAGAAATACTGTTTAAATTATGTCTCCATTGTAGAACTGACAGTCAATTTTTAGTAACTTTTGGTTTTTATATTTTATTTCTGTTCTTTTTCACTCTTCATGCAGCATTTTGGTTGCATTTGCTTGCTCTCTCTTTTTATGGCTCTGCCCTAGCTTCTCTTTTCCACTGTTATTTGACTTAACTAGTTTTGCATCTCTGTCTTTGATTCCAGATTGCTATTCTACATTCATCTGTGGTCTGTAAAAATTGTTTATCTTTGCCTGATGGGGAATCAGACTCTGATAATCTTTGGTTCCTCCCTCATTCAGGGATGGATGGTCCAAGACAAGAGATACAGAATTTTTGGTTATACATTTAGGATTGCTCTCAAAGTTTTCAAAGATTAATACTCTAAACTCCATTTTGAGGCAAACAGCAAATCCAGTTGCAGTACCTAAAATATATATATATATATATATATATATATATATATATATATATATATATATATATATATATGGTTGGGGAGTGGGGACTTGGGTAGTTAGTGTGTCCAGCTGTAGACTGAAGGACAAATATTATCAAATATTATCAAGTTAGTATGATCATATACATAAGTAGTTCCTGAACTAAACTTTTTTTTTTTAATTCTCACCCAAGGACATTTTTCCATTTTTTGTTCAGATAGAGTAGGAGGGAGAGAGAGAGAGAGAAACATCAACGTGAAAGGGGCACATCAAGTGGTTGCCACATGCACAACCCAACCACGGCCAGGGACAAACTGCAACCGAGGTACATGCCCTTAGCAGGAACCGAACCCGGGCCTCTCTGGACTGCAGGCCAATGCTCTAACCACTGAACAACCGGCCAGGGCTGAACTAAACTTTTATGGGGGAAAGGAGAGCGTAAAAATTACTGATAGGTACTACTATTAAAATGTCCCAACACAAAGTTTCCTTGATGCTTACAAAGTAGGCACAATACACAAAACAAACAACTAACTAAAGTTTTAAATCTAATTCATAGGTGTGGTATAAAATAGCACTGTGGATGCTAAAATCAATGTCAGACTAGGCAAGTTCTAAAGCTAAAGCTATACCTGTTGATACTGTACTAAACGGTCTTTCAAAACCATATTTTTAGGTCATGCATAACACCGACATACCAATAATTAAGAACCATAGATTATGTGTCAAAATGCAGGAGGAAGGCCACAACTAAACTTTATAGAAAAAACCTGCCACCTTATATCTAAGCACATCACCAAAACGTTTACAGCGACTTTTCTATTTATATTCCGATGCATATTGAAGAGACAGCCGAATAAATGAATGAGTTCATAGAAAGGTATGAAGGTCATTTCAAGTCCTGGTTTCGGGTATGTCAAGGTTTGTCATAACATCAGAAGGAAGGCTGAAACAGAAAGTAGTAAAAATCATAAAAGGAAAAAAATACCATTAACATTTTTTTTTTTTTTTGTCTTAAAAACAACAGCAGAACCCATCACCTCCCTAGAGTCTGCATTCTCACCTACCCAACAGAGGTTGAGCTTTTCTGCAAACCTTCAGTCCCCTCCAGGAAACCAGTCTCTTTCCAAACCAGGACGGCGGGCTCTTCTTTATTGTCGCTGCTTCCCCTCTGATCTGGGAATCGGTTTGCTTTTCGATATCAACCCCGGGAGGGGTGGTGCGCCCCAAACGAGCGAGGCTCCGCCGAGGGCCAGCGGCTCTTCTGTGGAAGAGGAAGGCTCCTCCTTTGGACGTGAGGCGCCCCTACCAGAGCGCGCGCTCACAGAAACGGAAACCACTAGCTGCGCTGAAGTGAGTCAAGTGATGAAATCAAGACTACATGGGAAGGAAGCTCCTCCAACAGCTCAGAACCTCGCCGGTGACACAAACTGCTGACCCCTGCTCGAGGAAACCGTACCAGCCCACAGAGGCTGCGGTCAGGAGTGGTCCCCGGAGGCACTGGGCCCCCCAGCCGCGGGGCAGCGAGTCCCTTCATTCTGGCGAACCAAAGAGGAAGGAGAGAAGTGTGGCAGGGAAATCTAGACCTGTTTCCCCAAGGACCCAGACTGTGCTCTGGTGACCCGGTGACCACTGCCCCCAGGTCAGTGCAGGGCTCCTCAGTGTCGACGGGCTGAGGCACGTCTGGCGCGGAGAACCAGCCTCGCCCACCACCGGGAGAGGAGCCGCGTGGCGGCCGCGCTCCGCCGGGACGGCGAACCCTCCCCGCGCACGCGGTCCGGGTCCTTACCTGGAGCGCTCAGGTAGGGCTGGGGCGGGGCAGGAGGCTGGCGCGCAGGCGCGGGACAGGGGCCTCGCCCCTGCCGACGTCGCAGGCTGGAGCTCACCTGGGAGACTCCGAAGGAAGCGGAGCCTTGGTACGGCCTCTCCTGGCCGCTCAGGAGGCCCCGCGGGAAGGCAGGAGGCGGTGGCGGAGGAGGAGCTGGACTGAGAGGCAACTGTAGCGACAGCAACCGGAGCCGCCGCCGCCACCACCTGCACCTGGCGCCCGGCCCACGTCCAGCGCCCGCCCGGCCGCCGCTTCCCGCCGCCCTGCCCTGCCCACCCGCCAGGTAAGCCGGAGAGCCGGCGCTCGGCCAGGGGTTCGGGAGCCCCTGGGTAGAGCCGGAGCGGGGTGGTGGACGGGTGCGGAGGTTCACGCGATGGGCAGGGGGCACGGTCCCGGTGGCCGGTTGGAGATGGTCTCGAGAGCAGCTTTCAGTTGCCCTCTCGGGAGAGGCCGGAAGGGGCGCCCGCGGCCGGGGGGGGGGGCGGTGGCTCCTAGGAGGTAGCCCTGCCGCCCGCGGTGACCCCTGTCAGTCACTTTTGGGGCCAGCTCCGAAGTCCTGGTGGTCCGGAGCTTGTCCCTGCGAGGGTCGCAGAGTGGGGAGTCGGAGGGGCTGGGCCAGGCGCGAGGCGGCCGAGTTTCCACTCGGTCTAACAGGTTGCCAGTGTCCTCCCGCCCCCGAGCCCGAAGGGGCCAAGCCCGGGACGCGGGAGGGCATGACTGCCAGGCAGCTTTCCCAGCCGGACCCCAGACAGTCCTGAGCTGGAAACCGCGGCCGCCCGAGCCATTTAAATGGTTTCCGAGTGGTTTGGAAAGCGCTCTGTGGTCGGGACGCGGACATCTCTCTCTCTCTCTCTCTCTCTCTCTCTCTCTCTCTCTCTCTCTCTCTCTCTCTCCCTCTCCTGTCTCTCTTGCTCGCTCGCTCTCGCTCCCTACTTTTTCCAGGTGCGCTCCCTAAGCCAGAGCTGCGCCCACTTTCTGGTTTGATCAAGAAGAGTTCTTTTCTTCGTGGCAGGAGGAAACCCCGCTGCCATTCACCAACCGCACACCCACACCGTGTCGTTAAAGGACCTGTTGACTTAACGACCTGTGTATCGCAGCTATGGTTTGCCTGTGGCATATGACTCAAAGGTTCAAAAAAAAAAACTTTGTTTCAGGATCCTGCCACGTCTGAAACTGGGTGTGCCAGGCTCAAATTCCTTTCCTTGCTTAATTAGGCTTTTTTGAAGCCTAAGAATTGAGGGTGAAACTGGTGCTTACATTCGATTTTTATTTTCTTCTCTCTCAAATTCATCAAAGCACTTCCTTCTCTTAAAACTCATCAAAACACTTCACTTCCGAATCATCAAATAACTATTTCTGTTTTTAGAACCCCCATCGAGTTACCAGTTTTCCTGATTTCTAGGCAACGTTAAGCTAACATAACTTGCTATATATAGATAACTTGCTAACATAACTTGCTTATACTACATAATGGAAATAATTAAACTCAAATTCTATTGTTAAAAAATCAGAAAGTTGCTGTACTTTAATTTGAGAATTTCTGGTTGTGGGAAAATCTGCTGCTGCTTTAACAGTATGAATTTTTCTTTGAGTTTGTGGCTGAAATACATGAGGTTTAATTCATAACCTACAATTAGATTTCTTTAAATTTAACTTTTAATATCTGAAGTTTAGCATACATATGTATTAGTCTCAACATTCTGTACAATTTAGTACCAACCATCTTTCTTTTTATATTGCTTTAATCAGCGTTTTTACATAGAAATTTCTAATAATAAATGGCAATTCCACTACCTAGTTTTAGTTTTGTCTTTGCTAATTACATATATATATGTGTGTGTATATATATATACACACACACACACACACACACACACACACACACATATATTAAATTGCACATTTAACATAAAATGCCTCAGGCAACATAGTGTTTTTTTTTTTAAAAAGCATTGCAATTAAAATCTAAAACGTCAACCACAGTGTGAGGGGACATAATGGGATATTTTCAATCAGTGCTTTCTGCTTTTCTCTAAAGAACCTTGTCTGACTTCTTAATCTTGTCTTCATACAGAGCAGTAAATGTGCTTCATACTGTTTAAAAATTAGAGGTAGGTGTTGCTCTCTCAATTTAGAGTAGTAACTTAATCCTCACTGATTATTGGGCCAAATATTATAGAATATCTTTACTTTTAACTCCAGGGAGAACTGTAACACATTTGCATTAGCTACAGTAGTGAAACTATCTGTAAAATTGGAAAAATAATACTTTTTAGATTGAAATACTGAAGAAATCAGGAATCTCCTCTAGTCTTAGCATTTTCAGGATCCCCTTCTCACTTGGAGATTCAGTCAACCCATCCAGTTTGTGAAAAAGCAAAGCATAGAGAGGTAGTTTAATTTCAGTTTGCCCAGCAAGTTAGTGGTAGGCATGGCATTCTTATTCTAGTGGCTTGACTCATGCTCATGTTATCTTCACTTTTTACCTCCCACATTCTCACTTATCGTAAGTTTATCTTTTTGACTCTCATATGGTTTGTAAGGCCTTTGTATTGACAGAATAATAGTCAATTATTCTTTGTCCAGCTCTGATTTAATCTCTTTTCTACTTGCCCAGGTGATACTCGACTTCAGGTAGACTGAGGCCGTCATTCTTTTCCTCTCACTGTGAATCACATGTGTATTGAAGATGGCCTGTGTATTGAGATTTTAAATCCTTTCTTGGTATTTCAGAGCCACAGTTAATTTTTTGAGTCAACATAGACAACAAAATTTAGTCCTCTGATCTTTTATTGCATTGGCTTAAAATCTATTTTATGAGGCAGCTACCCAGGGTCTTGCCTCCATTTGCAATGGTAGATTTTTGCTTGGCAAGCCTATTTCCTCAACACCAATTTTTAAAAAACTTCTTTTGGATTGTGATCCTCAGTAAGAAATGCATTCTATGCCACAATGCAGTACATTCTAGTGTGTTTGTGTATAAATGAAACAAGATTCACAAAACAGTGCTTAATCTTACAACATGAATGTTTTCTTATTTTGTTTTTAAAATATTGCTCTCAACACATTGGATTGATTTTATGACCACAAATGGGCTGGAGTCTATAATGAAAATGATGGTATCCTACTGAATTTACATTTTTCAAGGCTGAGTTTTCTACCAGCTTACTAGCTCTGTCTCCCTCCCTCTCTCCCCCCTCTCTCCCCCTCTCCCTCCCTCTCACTCTCTTTCTCCCTCTTCCCCATATGCTTGAAAGAAGAAAAAAAAATCAAGCTGAACTTTTTAATATAGAAAATTGTGCTGTAATCCTTATTAAATATTTATTAGAAGGTTTGAGACTTTAAAACCTGGTGCTAGACTAAATCTCCCAAACATTAAGAACTGCATAAAATCTCATTGTACATTATTGTATTTTAAATGAATTACTCAAATGGGATTAAAATATTTGATGAATTTGAGGGAGAGAGAGATTGAGTTATTATTCCACTTTATTTATGTATTTATTGGTTGATTCTTATATGTGCCCTGACCAGGTATCAAACCTGCAACCTTGGCATATTGGGACAATACTCTAACCAACTGAGCTACCTGACTAGGGCCACTCTGATGGGATTTTGATGGTAACAATTACCAAGTGAAAATTTGAGAGACACAAGTAATTCTGTTCAGTTTGTTTTAAATTTTAATTTTTGTGTTGAGATATAGTACTGGGTGGAGTCTGAAAAAAATTATTAGAGTAAACAGGAGAATTTATCATTTGTTTCATAGTCTTTTAATATATTTCTTTTACTGTAAAACAGATATGAGACAAATTGTAGAGACCATACTCCTTTCTCCAAAAAAAGACAAGAATAAGAGATTAGATTAGATCCATCAATGACCTGTAGAAATATAGGCTTGGAAACTGGGATTAAATGATTAAGACTTTCATAGAAGCTTTTCATTTTAACCTGCTTCCCATTCTGGGTAGAAGGAATATTCCTCTAAATAAATTATTATTGCCCTGGCCGGTTTGGCTCAGCGGTTAGAGCGTCCACCTGCGGTCCGGAGAGACCCTGGTTCAGTTCCCGCTAAGGGCGCGTACCTCGGTTCCCCAGCCCTGGTTGGTCGTGCAGGTGGCAGCCACTCGATGTGTCCCTTTCACATCGATGTTTCCCTCTCTCTCTCTTCCTCTCTCTCCCTCCCTCTCTGTCTGTACAAAAAATGGAAAAATGTCCTCGGATGAGGATTTAAAAAAAAAAAAAAAAAAAAGAAAGAAATTATTATTGTATTTGATATTTGGAAATGATCAGTGCACAGATCATCTTCAAACACATTCAGTTCTCTGGCCCATAGTGTAAAAATGCATTAGGTATGATAGATCTTTTATGGGTATAAAATGTGATTGAGCCCTGGCCGGTTTGGCTCAGCGGTTGGAGTGTTGGCCTGTGGACCAGAGAGTCCTGGGTTCGGTTACCACTAGGGGCACATGCCAAAAATAAATAAATTAATTAATTAAAATAAAATAAAATAAAATAAAATATGATTGAGAAGAAAATATTTTCAATTACTTATCTAATTATGCATCTAGTTCATATCAGAATAATTAATTTTATATAATTTGGATAATTTTAACACAGTTAATGTACTGCCAATAGCAACATTGAATTCAAATCAATGCCAGTCATGGCAAGAGACCAAAATGCATTAACTTATGGCAAAGCAAAGAGAAGTAGGACTCTGAATTCTAGGTCATTAGGGACTATTGACAATTAGATGAAATCTCCTTGAGTCATTCTCTGAGTTGGATTTATATTTTTGGCACTAAATAGAGAGTATTTTCCTGAGTACACATTTTTTCTATAATTGTTTCAGTTTTAAACTGTTTGAACTAGTTTGCTCATTTTCCCCATTGCCTGCTGGATGTCTTTACGGTTTCATAATGACCTGAGGTTACACATGCAAAAATCAGAACCCTCATCCCATAAAACAAAACAAATTTTGAAAACCACACAAAGACAACCTGTTTTGCTTCATGTATTCTCTTTGTAAGTATTAGTACATTTACCATTTCTTATTCACAATTCCAATACCAAAATGTCTCTGAAACCCCCCACCTTTTTTTTTTTTTTTTTGGTAACTCATCAGGTCAGCAAAACTTGAACTCATTTGCTGCTAACCTGAGTGAACTGTCAGGAGGCCATTTATGATTTCACCTGCTTGGTGGGTTGTACCTCGCTGCAAAAATAGTACGGTATTGAGTTTGATTACATGCTATTATCCCTGGCCCTGATGGGGTACAC